TAATATAGATATCATCACATCATCGTCATCACCATATCAGCCTGTCATATCAGTCTGTCCACTGTTGAACGTATAGAAAAAGTAAAGTCTTTTCTACGTGAATAAATAAGTTTCCCAATAATGTATCACGGCGACGGAACCTTCGTGATTTTCTTTTCGAGGAAATAAATTTATTTTTGCTCACACAAAAGAGATACGAAATAACTTCTCTTATTACGCAAAATACGACAGAAACGTCGAGAATTTACAACGTATGCATGTTAGTTATTACATTATGTTATATGTATTAGGTATTGTTATTAGATATATTTCATATATTATGAATGGGAAAAATTGTGTTTATAACAAACAGTAACTTTCACTCTTTTTTTTTTATTTTTTATTAAACGACGTAGAATGGCGAACAAGCTGACGTCCCACCTGATGGAAAGTAGTAACCGTTGCCTATAGACATGAGCAGTACCATGGACATAATAGAGTATACTGTTTCGCCCATGGTACACCCCATACGTTGCCATTCCTGAGGACTCAGGTGTTATTCCACTGTACCCTGTAAATTCACGCCATATCCCACCCTTCAAATCGAAACACAGCCATGCAAACACAACTGCTTTACGGTTGAAACACGAATGGGGTAGGGGTACCCAAGCAAACGACTTTGCTTGCTTCTTGCCACCTAACGAAAGAAATGTGCTGCTTTTTATTTCAATCAGTCAATATAATAGTTTTTTAATAAATAATTACTAAAAGTGACTGTATATTGCATACATATTTTGTTGTTTTTTTTTTTTTGTATACCCCCACCCACCCATCAAACTTCTCCTCTCAATCTTTTACCATCACAGCCATCCTTTGGAAAAGTCCCTAGCCAAATTTTCCTTTAAAAAATTCCCTCCGTGAACTTTACTTCAAATTATCACAACAACGAAGAGCTTCAATCTGTACTATTATATAATTAGTCGTAATTTATTTATATTTATATAAATATGTAGTATAGTTATTTATATATGTATTGTATGTGATTTATGTATGTATAACTTTTGTAAGTACATTACTCTATACGTTTGTATGTTCATTTATCTTTAAATATATTAATGTTGTTATCTCTTAAAATATTTATTTATATTAACAAATTGTTTTAGTTAAATCAATGCACCGCCATTTACTCTCTCTCTCTCTCTTTAGCGTAACGGTTGACGGGTAGAGAATGCCATCAGGCATTAAGTCCGCCCTGTAGACATATTTTAATGTATGCAAAAGTATAAATAAATAAATAAATATTTTTACTACTATATCTGAGTTTAGTGAATTTATTTAATTCATAATAATATATTATTATTATCTATCTATTTATTATTATATCTATCTGTCTATTTATTATTTATAAATAATAAATAGACAAAATTATGAATAGTTTTGTCTATTTATTACGTTAGTTAACAAATATATGACGTCAATATATAATATTCTAATCATACGGACGATGTCGCGTGTAATAATTAGTAAGAAATGAAATAATGTTAAATTTAGAAGCATCTTATTTAAGAGGATTGTTAGTAATGGACCCATTACTATTAATGGATGGATATGGAATGATGCACCCTGTCGGTTTGACCTATACCTAATCCCTTCTGGAAAACTCTCTGGTTTGTTCCATGTGAATTTATTAAGATAGGTCAACTGGCCTGACTTCATTCTCACCTATCATATCTCCTCAATACTTCGCTCAAATAGTATATTTATAACTAGCTATATCCCGCTGCTTCACTTGGGAAGGGATCGTTAGTAATGGGATCAAATAGCCCCAAAACTAGCAATATACCCTATCAGGTCGGTTGGTACCCTCCATGTGGTTCCCCCTGGAAACCATCGTGTTTAATTCCAGTTGAATTCGTCAGGATGAGCTAACTGACCTGCTTTCATCCTCATCTGTCATCTCTCACTGGTGCCCCGCCAGTGTATACCGATAGCGTAGACGGAGTTACCATAGCATTTTCATCTATTAAAAAAAAGAAACTCGCGTGAACCAGTGTATAAAGTATCCTTTGAGCTAAATAGGAATATGACCTACTCGTGTACTAAATTTTATTCAAATCCATACAGTTTTTGCATGAAAGAGTAGCGAACATCTATCTATCCATCGTTACAAACTTTAACATTTATTATATTCATTATTATCAACTTTTAACCATTATCTGTCCACTGCTGGACATAGGCCTACCCCATAGACTGCCATAAAGAACGGTCCTGAGCCTTTATTTTTATTATTATTTATTAATGGGATATAACAGCATAATTAGAATTTTTTATACAACTTAGAATGGCAAACAAGCTGATGGCCCAACTAATGGAATGTAGTTACCGTCGCCTATAGACATGAGCAGTACCATGAACGTAACAGAGTATACTATTTCACCCATGGTACCCCCCGTGTGTTGCCTTTTCTTAAGACTCAAGTGTTATTCCTCTGTACCCTGTAAATTCACTGCCATATCCCACCGAAACACAGCAAAGGTTTACGTTAAAGGCTTAATTCCAGCAGTGGATAGTTAACGTCTAAAATAATAATAATAATAAACAATAACGATGATATAATATATCCTACGTACTATAAACGTAAACGAAATTCGATACATATAAAAAAAAAACTGTTTATCGAAGGAATATCTATCCAAGGCAAGCGATAGTGGTCCCCAGCGTGATATACGTATAGACGTGTTACGAAACAGATAACAAAGACTCCCGCGTTATTGTTGTTTCAAAATATTATTATAATTCCCCTTAGCTATCTACAAGTTACTTGGAAGTTGGAATAATACAGAAGAAATATATGAAATACAGAGCTGATACCTCATGCTCGGCTTTGCAGTTGATTAAACTATAAAACCATAGTGTTTTATGAGTTGTATGAAAATGGAATGGTTAATAAAAAGTACCCTAAAAAGTACAAACGTCGTTTACTTGGGCACCTCTGTCCCATTCGTGGTTCTAGCGTGAAGCAGTTGTGTTTGTATGGCTGTGTTTCGGTTTGAAGGGTGGGATATGGCAGTGAATTTACAGGGTACAGAGGAATAACACCTGAGTCTTAAGAAAAGGCAACACACGGGGGGTACCATGGGTGAAATAGTATACTCTGTTATGTCCATGGTACTGCTGATGTCTATATGCGACGGTTATCACTTTCCAGCAGGTGGGCCGTCAGCTTTTACAGTTCAAATAGAAAAAATAAAAACTATATTGTATATACAAATAAAGTATACTCATTCGTTCCATTCAAAGCGAAAATTTACACTCAAGTATGAAAACATAAGTCAAGTTACTGGAGTAGCTAGTAACATTAATGGCATTACGAAAATCCTTTATTTCTTATGAATTACCTCTATTGAACAGGTATCGGTGTGAACTTTACAAAAGGCGACCGTTACCTGTCAGAGGGTTAATGATTAATTGGCCTCTAAATTTCACTCCCTGTCGAATTCGGTTGACGATGATCGAAGTCAAAAGTGATAGCACCTTTTATCAGATCTAATTTACATTGAAATTGCACACAGTTCGTGTAATAAATTCGTAAACTGAAACACTGTCTATATATTAATTAAATTGCTTCACAAAAACTTTGTACCCATTTTTACGAAATATTTTTTTTTTATTTAACTTAGAATGGCAAACAAGCTGACGGCCCACCTGATGGAAAGTGGTAACCGTCGCCTATAGACATGAGCAATACCATGGACATAACAGAGTATATGTTTCACCCGTGATATTCCCTATGCATTGCCATTCCTGAGGACTCAGGTGTTATTCCTCTGTACCCTGTAAACTCACGCCATATCCCACCCTTCAAACCGAAACACAACCATAGAAACACAACTGCTTTACGGTTGAAACACGAATGGGACAGAGTTACCCAAGCAATCGACTTTTGTACAAAGTCTCCCTCTGGTACTACTAACTACTATAGTAGTAGTAGTGTATAGTAACTACATAGTTTTGTCACAAATGAATTCGGTTTTTTTGTGGGACTCAATCTTTAGTTACCACATACATATTCAGCTAACTCAGCTGTCTCGAGGGTAGTCAGTTGCAGTTCTAAATTGATGTCAATTCGCACTACATAAGGTTGGCCGTCAGCTTATTCATTCCATGTCATTCTAAATTGTATATTGTATGATTTTAATTATCTAAATTACAATAAAATTTAAATATCCAACTATCTTTAAATATTTTTCGTATATGTATTTTTTACAGACAGAATAGTGTTTTTTTTTTTAATTTATAAACATAAATTAAAAATCTATTCTTTTTTATTTATTTATAAAGACAATATATTTAAAAATCACAGGGCATGTAACACTGCAATATGTGTACAAACGACATGTACAAACTAAGTGCTGTGGGACAACTACAACTGAGATTCGTGTCACAGTGGCGACTTCTGGTATCAAGTGTTTATAAGCTGCCTTCGTTAACTATTAACAAGCATAAACTGTTAACTAAAAGTTAATTTAACAATCGTATTTTTTACATTTGGAACAAAATTTAATGTTGGCTTTTAGCTACAACAGAATATCAGCGTTTTGCTCTTTTGAAGGCGAAGCAATAAACTGAGTTGTGACCATTTTGTGTTACTGTGATACACTAACAAAAAAATATGTTACCTCTCTTATACATTTTCTTTTCGAATGTCTATCTATCTATCTATATAATGTAGAAATATTATTAATTAAATAATATTTAATTAATTAATAAAATTTCGCTGCAAGGACGATCGATAAATTTTCAACCACTTAATAATTATTTAAATATGGATTTCGTATTTTGTTTTTTTTCTATCACCATAATATCAGCCGTTAACTGTCCAGTGCCTCCCCCTGGGGGGGGGGGGGAGTAATGGTTCTATACCTATTTGCAATATAGTATCGTATTGCCAAGTCTCTAGTCATAAATAATAAAATAATGTTTACAATTTAATTTTTTTTTTTTGTTTCTTTCTTTGACAGGAAATCGAGCATTGCTACTACCATGGTACAGTGAAGGACTATCCTGGTGCTTCAGCCGCCTTCCACACTTGCAATGGTGTCTCCGGCGTCATTCACATAGGCAACGAGACATTCGTCATACATCCGTTCTATGGAGGAGATCTATCGGTCAGTAACGCATGTTTTTATATATATATTTAAATATTTTTTTTAAGAATTATTAATTAAGAATATTTATAGAAAGAAAGCCCAATATTTACATTATACGTATGTATAAAAGTTATACTTCAAATTTTCCCAAAGTAAATTAAAAAAAATTCTACCATTTGGTGTTTCTTCCTCGTTTATAAATAAATTAAAAAAAAAAAACAACAAAATTAATGTACCTAATACATTTTTGGTCTGGCGATGATTATATTAAAAACAGAGTTTATAAAATTTAAAATGTATTCCAAAATAATGTTTAAAAACATTTTCTCAAATTTAATTAAAAAAAAAAATCACGCGCACATTAAACGTTCAATATGCGAGAAAAAGAACCACCATAATTTTTCAATATAAATAATTAAATACGCAATATTTTATTTTTATTTTTTCATAAAATACTATTTATTTTTACATCAAAGTTAGTCGAGTTGGTGTTCTAGAATGATTTATTTAGTCAAGTTTGTGTAACTTTCAAATTACCGGCCACTTTATAATCTTCAATACGTTACATTATTTACCCTTTAATGTAACATAAATATTCTTTGAAACGAACCTTCTGACCCTCCATTAACCCGGGAAATCCACTTAAGATTTTAAAACCCCATCCCAATACGAAGCACAAATGTATAATTTATTTTTATATAAGTGCTTTTTTCTTAAAGTCTACAGCTTGTTGAGAGGAATATATTATACATGGAAATTGGTATTAACTAAATAAATATCTAAAACGAAAAAAAAAATTGTAATAAAATTTACGACTTTTTTATGTTTTTGAAATTATTATCAGTATATCAGCCCTTAACCGTCCACTGCTGAGCATAAGCCTCCCTCTTGGAAGGTTTCTCCACTAGTTGCTACACTTGGCAGGCGAATTGGCAACCGCAATTAGACTTTGGAGATGTTTTAAGAGGGACGCTGCTACCCATTCCTCGCTCTCCCTTAGTTGCCTCTTACGACACCCATGGTAAAGTAAAGGACTATTCTATGCCAGGACCACTGGGCAAGAAATTATTATGCTTATTTATATATTACGGTTATACAAATTTATTTCTTCCTATTTTCTTTTTATATTTGAAAATATTTCAAAGCTCTTTTAATATTGCAAAGAAAAGATGATTTCATTTGCTTGCACTTTCTCATGGGGAGACGTCGCTTCTATTAGTATTCTTCTAAAGGACTTTTCTACTAGTTTCTTAAATGAAAAAAAAATTAAAAATATACAAAAAATCGCAGTATGTATGCGTAGAATAGGTCCTTCCTTTTCCATGGGTGTCGTAAGAGGCGACTAAGGGATCTTATAGTCGAGGAATAGACAGCAGCGTACTTCTTAAAACATCTCTAAAAGCCTAACTGCGGTTGCCAACCCGCCTGTCAAGCGTGGCAACTACTGGCAAAACTTCCTTTGTGTGTTCCATACACGCTTATGTTCAACAGTGGACGCGTAACATATAATATTAAATGAAAATCCTTAATATTTTAATTAATGTTATTTTATTATTATATTTCTTCGTAATATTTAAATACTACAAAAAATATTAAAACCAAATTATAGTAATTTTTGTTTTCAATATTTGCACGCTTGATCTAAATAGATTTTGTAAGGTACTTTTGATTTATAAGATCAAATGTTTTATACCCAAAATCATTGCAAATAATTATAAAAAATACAAAATAAATAATACAAAAAAAAAATGTATACACACTTAACAGCTGAAAACGCTGTGATAATGTAAAATACTCAATTTTTTTTTATCGTATTCCGATTCACGTATTATTTGGATAAATTATTCAGTTGCGCTTGACCTCCGTAAAATGATGCTAATAATTTTAAAACCAACATGTATAATATAAAATCCCCTTTAATATAAAAATAGCATGCGTGAATTTATTGTCCAAATTCAATACTGGCAACATTTTGTCACTAGCATATAATAATAACCTGTTATCTAACTATATATTAGCCGGTGGCGAGCTGTACTTAATATCAATTAACATGATCAAATGTAATTATTATGAAGCACATGTGGGACAGATAATTAAATTATTTCCACCTCGATACCAGTATGTTCTAGTAAAAAAAAATGGATGCATTCTCATAGATATGGGAAAAAGGTTTCGTTAACGGATTAAGATGTAGTATACATTTTGAAAATTTGCAGTTAACAGGTTATGTTCGTGTCGATTTGACTCTTTTAAACCGTATACTACGCATGTTATATTGTAGAATTAATTTCTATATTATACCATTTTTTCTATTATACCACTGAGATGGTAAACAAGCATACGACCCATCTGATGGTAAGTGTTTTTTTTTTGATGAGTGAAAATGGTATAATAACCCCGCCTGCGCTAACGAGATACGCTGGCGGAGCACCAGTGAAGGGTGATAGATGAGAATGAAAACAGGTCAGTTAGCCCATCATGATGAATTCATCAGGAATTAACCATGACAGTTTCCAGGGGAAACCGTGAAGAGGTCGACCTGATTGGGTATATTGCTAGCAATGGGATTCTCAGTCTCCATTACTAACAATCCCTTTCAATGGTAAGTATTACCGTAGCCTATGAACGTCTGCAATACCAGGAGTAATACACCCGCTTTGCCGACCCTGAAGAAACCTCTTTTTGAACCCCATTTTTGAAGAACCTCATGCTGTAGTCCCTTGAATAAACCTGGATAGAGAGCTTATTGCTAGCAATATATCCTATTAGGTCGATATCCACGCGTTTTCCCCTGGAAACCATCGTGGTTAGTAATTATTGAATTCATCACGATGGACTGCACCAAGAGACTACAGCAGGGTTCATCAAAATCCAACATCTATCTACGTAAAAAGATTACATCTTTTTGAGTTATGAGGTAACAAATATAAAAAAAAAACAACCGAATTAAAAATCTCCTTCCGTTTGAAGTCGATTAAAAACCCACTCTAACGTAACAAAATCGGGGTACATAGCTACAAAAAGCACCAGATGAATTGAGAATAAACTTCTTCAGAAAGTTAGTTAAAAAAATAACTCGAGTACAGTAAGGAATGTTACACAGCCGAAAATTAATATTCAACTCTCATAATTAACAAAATATTTGACTTAAACATTCACAATTGGGAGTCAGTTTATGTTTAGAAATATTTTTGCAGAATCATCAATTATTTTCATTCATCCATTCGAGGGAAACGTCTTTTATGTACGCCATTTTGAGTCTTTAGGGAATGTCCATTTAACCGGGCTCTTTATTTGCAGAATGCATCGAATTTATTTTATCTTTTAGAATGAAATGAATCTCGCTACTGCTATATTGCAAATAGATTAACGCTATTGCTTGATTTAGCTACGCAAAAAAAAAACAGCTAATTCAATCGTTATAACATGATTAATATTAAATTAGAACCTCACTAATGTTCTTATTTTAAACGAATAAAATAGAACGATTAATAATGAATACACTAGATTTAAAATATTTGAATTTAGAATACGAAATAGTGTCCACACAAATGTAGATTGACTTTTTTTATCGATGTGTGCGTAAATGAGGTTACCATAATGTAATGTACATTTACACATTACACAATATATGGTGTATAGTAATTATATTACAATATTAAATTGAAAAACAAAAATGATACAAAATTCTTACGTAAATTTTAATTGGTAATTTAATAGGATAAGATAAACAGTGTATAATGATTCACAATGATGCTTATATATACTCTGTTTTGTCCATGGTACAGCTCATGTCTATAGGCGACGGTTACCAAATTCTATCAGGTGAGCCATCAGCTTGTTTGCCATTCTAAATTTGCATAAAAAAATTTACTAATTACTTTCGTTTATATCTAAATATAGATATAAAATATGTTTTCATATTTATATAATTGAAAATGGCCATCATTTTAATTAATATATTAATTATAACACATACATTTATATTATATCAAAAAAGATAGTTATCAATTCACATTTAAAAAATCGACTTAATCACACATCATTAGGGTTCACATATCATTAGGGTAATATTATTATAACACTATAAATACACTATAAAAAAATTACATAGTTTATTATGAACTTCTTACTTATTGTTACCTTTAAAAAAAATAACACTGAAACTGTATTTCATTCGAATAGTTTACATTTTTTTCCGCCATTTTGTGAAATCGCCGCCATTCGCCATCTTATTTTTTTAACAAATACACTTTACTAGGTCTTTATATTTGAAACATCACACTCAATTAGATAGATCTGTGCGTGGTCAAACAATGCGCCCCTATCTTCCCACTCTGGGACACAATAGCATCCCGGGACAAAAGGGAAGTACGCCGCGGTAGAAGATTAATCGTCAATTCGCCGCCATTGTACCACAACCGTGATCACCTGCAACTGTTATTTTGGTATAGTAATTGTTTTTTGTTATGTTTTCGGCTACGAATTGGCAAGGGATTGAAATGTACGTGGGTTGTGTATTTAATTGGTATTACTGTTTTAGATTATGTAGTATATATTAAAGTTAAAATATGCTACTATTTATTATTAGTGAAATTATAAAGCCTTCGTGTATAACGAAAAGCTTCTTAGACTCTTACACCAGAGGGTAGCACCTTTCAAAACAACAAATAAGAATGATATCTAATTATAACAATTATATATAACAGTCCCATTGCTACAAATATAGCCTATTAGGTCGACCTTCTTGTGGTGCCCTAGAAACCACCATGGTTATTTTTTGATAAATTCGTCACGATGGACTAACTGATTGGTCTTCATTCTTTTTTTTTATACAACTTAGAATGGCAAATAAGTTAACGGCCCACCTGATGGAAAGTGGTAACCGTCGCATATAGACATGAGCAGTACCATGGACATAACAGAGTATACTGTTTCGCCCATGATACCCCCATGCGTTGCCATTCCTGAGGACTCGGGTGTTATTCCTCTGTACCCAGTAAATTCACGCCATATCC